CATCTGAAGCGATTGCGCCGTCTTACGAATGGCGCGCTCATGTCAGAGGGACTTCCGTCTTGACCTCGCTCGGAAACCGTCCTGCTGAGGTGCAGGTCGAGAAAGCCACTAAAGAAATGACGTTACAAACGCTCTCACTGACTGACAGCGTCGGTCTCGCAACTCTGGTAAAGCGGCTGATAACCTGTGAGAGGGGTGATCGAGCATGAGAGCTCGTCTGCTGTACCCACCCTCTGCGGGATGGCGCCTGCAGAGGGCGCATGGCCGCAGGACGCCCCGCAGAGACGCGTGCGCCTTGAGGGTCACGCACAGAGAGGAGAGAAGAGGAGACAGTGGGTGTCGCCACCGACCCTGGTCTGGGACATCTTCCACAGTACCTTTCACTGGCATACCTCAAACTGGCACAACCACGCGTGTTGTATCCCAGGTTTGCTAGTTGAGACCTGTGTAAAACGCGTAATCGTGTCGGTCCAGGCCTCTGTCGTTCGTTTGAGCCAAAAGGGCCAAAAGACCCCCCCCCCCCTGCGTGCCCCAACGTGCGCGGTCGGAACTTAGAGCTTTAGAGCGCACTCTCCCGGGGGGTCGACCTCCCGCCCCCGGGGGGCTGAGGCCGCGAGAGGGGAGCCCCCCCCCCACAAAAGGAATGGGAATGACATCGGTCTTATCGCCAGCATCCACTTTTTGTAATATGAATGCGGCACCGCAGCCGATGCGCCAGGTCAACGCAGGCGAACGTCTGCAGCAGCGAATATGGAGTATGGAATTGGGCGTGGCTTCGACCTCCTTCTGTTCATCTCGTGCGCTGGACTCGACAGTGTCCTTGTAGGGTGGCGCCTCCATCGCCAGCACTTTACTCCCGTCGCTGAGATGCCGCCCTTGTTCTGGACGACGCCTGGCTTCTCCGGCGCTGGTTCCTCCCGCGATTCTCCGGGCGGCGAGGGTCTCTCTGGCCAGTTAGAGCTTGCCTCTCGGGGACCTCTCGGCGCAACTGCTCGAGCCTTCGAGGGGGGGGGGCCCTAGGAGACAAGATGCCGCCGTGTCCAAATTATGCCCCTCGCGCCTGCCGTAGCGGTGGAGGAATGGAGGGGGCGGGAGCCCGCGTAGCAATGAGTGGTGGGTGACAGTGACAGCTGGTTGCGCAGAGCGTTTCTGCTGGACTCGGCCGGGCGCCCGTCGCGCTCGCGATACTTTCTGCGTTCCCTCCCTGCCCCAGGTGTCCGTCATGTGTTCCAGCGTCGCTCTGCTCGAAATAGGACTGCAAGCTGGCATGCATCGTTGCTTGCTCCCGCACATTGCTTGCCTAGCTCTTTCAGTTCTCGTGGGTCTGGGCAGCGCCCCCATGGACAGCTCGCCCCTGGCCAGCTTCCTGGCCGGTGCCCTGGCCCTTCCAGCCAGATCCTTGGAGGCGCCTGCCTGCTCCGACGCCAACTCGAGCAGTTCTGGGGGCACGCTGGCGGCATCCGTGGGCTCGACAGCCTCCAGAGGTGTTGAGCACGACGCCAATCTCTCTCGATAGGGCTCGTCTCGATTGCCTGGAAACGGTCCATGGCCATATCCGCCGCCACCTCCACTCTCCCTGCGCGAAGGGCATCCAGCATTTCTGCGAATGTCCTCGGTTCTCACTTGCTCCCCTTCGGGACCTTGGCAGAGCCGTGGCGGTCGAAGACCGACCTTCTGGCTCAAGTACCCGGCGGGCGCCGTCGGCTTCGGAGCGACCGGAGAGGAAGCGGCCCATCTGCTGCAAGCCCTGCTTGAGCAACGCTCCTCGATGCTTGGCCTCCGGCCCCCTCACCATCGGGGCCCTCGCCCCGAAGCCTCTGCGAGAACTCGAAGTCGAACGAGACCCACTCGAAGTCCTGGACCTGGTCCGCCCCCTCCTCCGGCTCCTGGATTTCGACCGTCTTCGATCTCGACTGCGAGCGCGCTTCTTTGGCGCCTCCTTTTGCCGCTCCTACGCCTTTGCGACGAGCCTCTCTCCTACGCTCTCCTGTATCCTCTGCTGCATCCCTCTGCCGCCCCCTTCGTCCGCCTCGTGATCCCTACCTCGTTTCTGGCGCGCCTCGTCGACGACCGCGTCGACCCTTCGGCGCGAAGCCTCCGCCGCAGCCGCCGCATGAACTTCCTCCTGCTCGGGATCCTCGGCCGGAAGCGGGCTGGTCTGGCGGAGTCAAGGGCGGCCGCCTCTCCTTAATTACTCGTCCTCCTCCCCTTGGAGCGTCCTCCATTCTCCTCCTACTCATGGGATAGTCCTCTCGTCCACGGAGGCGCGGTGTCACCTCGGGCCACTCTGCCCGGCTGACCTCCTTGGCCTCTCCCGCCTCCTCCTCGTGCTCCTGCTGGCCTGCTGGGCCCTCATCGCCAGCATCCTCGTCGACAAGGGCGCGGAGCAAGGCCCGTTCCCGTCGCTCCCGTGCGAGCCCGCTCACCGTGAGTCCAGGGCCCCCCCCCTTCGACCCGCGAGCCTCGTCCGCACCGCGACGACCCCCCGAAGACGCGTCACCAGGGCGGATCCCCGGCCAGCGCTTCTCGCCCTTCGTCTGAGCTCTTGCGCTAGCCATAGCCTCCCGCAGCAGGCGCCTGGCCAGCGCGCAGTATGACCGGTCGTGTACTTCCTCCGCGCTGAGGAAGCGGTACGCCTTGAGGTGGACGATCTTCTTCCCCTGAAGCCCTCGCTAGTCTTGGCCTTACCGCGCTTGGTGCTGCTAGCACGGCAAACATGGTACGCCGCCTTCGACGAGAGGACAAGATGGCGCCGGGCCCAGTGCTCGTAGTACTCGTCGAACGCCGCGATGTGCTTGCACTCGATGTCTCCCGAAGCTCGGGCCGCGGTGTTCCTGTTGGCGCAGACGCGCGCGATGGCGTAGCCCTGCTTCTTCTGTTTGTTGTCGACCGCCTGGTAGATCATCAACTGGCCCTCCACGACCGTGTCATCCGTGAAGTCCTGGAAGGCCTCCTGGTCCGCCGAGTCCTTTTCGAGCTTATCCCACCACTCAATCTTGGGCACGCGGCCACGCGTCCCCTCGCTGATGAGCTCCCCGACCATTTTCTCGTCCAGACTCTGCTGCTGGGCCTCCTCGACGAGCCCTTGCTCCTCCCTCGGCACCCTCGGCATCCTCGCCGAAAGCTCGACACCCCGATCTGATGTGCCCCCGACCGTCGGCGCCCTGCCGAGGTCCGGCACTCAGAAGATGAGCGCCAGAAGCGCCGTAGCAGCCGCGGCTCGCCCGGCCGCCGACTGCGCCCCGCTGCGGGCGCGCGCGGGCTCGCGAACCCCGCCTCGCCTCCACGCTGTCCGCTCGGGGACCTTCTGACCCGGGTCAATCCAGACCCGGGTCATTCAGGCCTTGCAAGATCCTGCAAGATCCTGCACCCAAGCCCGGGTCAATGCGAAGGATCCTGCAAGATCCTGCAGGGTCCTGCGCCCAGACCCGCCGGGTCAATGCGACCCTGGCCCTGCAGGATCCTGCAAGATCGGGCGCTCTGGCTGACCCTCGCTTGCATTGACCCCCGTCTCAAGGCTCCCGATCCGCGACGAGCCTCCCCGCACCTGGGGCCAGGCTTAAGTCGGGCCTGTCCCCCTACAGGGGGATTTTGGACGAAAAATTAAAAATACTCCAAACATATTCAGAAGATGACCTATATTTTTTACCTAACAGCGAAAACTGATAGGTTTCTAGTTGGGTCAGAAGAGAGCATCATGACTCCTCAGGGGGGTCGGGGCGGGACCCGGAGCGGGACCCGGCGCGGCTGCCGTCGAAGCCCAAATCGCCTGGGACATCCTCGCAAAATCGCTCTTGGCGCTGCTAGAACCGGAGCCAACTATAGGCCACTTCGTTCTCTTCGACTTCCCAGAACTCCATTCCCGGCGTACATTTTGGGTGCACGGAGCCAACTGTAGGCCACTTCGTGGTCTTCGAGTTCCCAGAACTCCATTCCCGGCGTACATTTTGGATGCCCGGAGCCAACTGTGGGCCACTTCGTGGTCTTCGAGTTTCCAGAACTCCATTCCCGGGCCACATTTTGGGTGCCCGGAGCCAACTGTAGGCCACTTCGTGGTCTTCGAGTTCCCAGAACTCAATTCCTGGGCATGACTTTGAATGCCCGGAGCCAACTGTAGGCCACCTCGTGTTCTTCTAGTTCCCAGAACTCCATTCCTGGGCCACATTTTGAATGCTGAGGCAGGCTGATGCTGCGGCCGAGGCAGGCTGAGGCTGAGGGCTGAGGATGAGAGCCGAGGCTGAAGCAGACTGAGGCTGAGGCTGAAGCAGGCTGGCTGAGGCTGAGGCAGGAGGCTGAGGCTGAGGCAGGCCAACTGGAGGCCACCTCGTGTTCTTCTAGTTCCCCAGAACTCCATTCCTGGGCCACATTGATGCTGAGGCAAGCGATGCTGCGGCCCGATGCAGGCTGAGGCTGAGGAGTGAGTGAGGCTGAGGCTGAAGGCAGCTGAGGAGAGCTGAAGCAGCTGAGTGAGGCTGCAGGCTGAGGCTGAGCAGGCTGAGGCTGAGGCTGAGGCAGGCTGAGGCTGAGGCTGTGACTGCGACTGCCGTTGCCACTGCGACTGTCATCGCGAATGCGACTACGACTGCGAGAACAGCAGAATTCTACAACTGGATTCTCATCTGAATCTTAAGGGGAACGCTTCCAGATATGTTCCTACGCATCGCTGTTAGGTTGCTTTGCCGGGATAATCACTATTTTTGAATATCCCTCCTGTAGAGGGACAGGTCCGACTTGAGGCCAGCGAGTCGCGAGGCGTGCGCGCGCGGAGGGGGGGCGCCGGTGAGCCGTGCCGTGGCCCCGGCGGAGCGTGCCGCCCGAGCCGCCGCTGCTGTGGCGGCGATGGCTTCTGAAGCCGCTCCGCTCGCACTGCATGGGGGAGGGAGACGAGGAGGAGGAGGCAGGAGCAGGAGGAGCAGGAGGAGGAGGAGGAGGAGGAGGAGGAGGAGGAGGATGTGGTGGTTGAGGAGGAGGAGGAGGATATCATGAATGACTGAATGACCCACGCGTGTTCGCAGCTTTCACTGCACAGCCGCACCGAAGTGCACAGACTCAATGAACACATGCAGCCGTGCACGTCGAGACGCACATGCACAGACGAGCCCGCGCACAGGCGCATGCTGTTTTTGCATTTCCCCGCGGGTCAAACCGTCCGCGGCAGTGACACGCACCCAGGCGGCGCCCCGCCCTTCCGCTTAGGGATCGAAGGCGGCCCGCTCGCTCTCCCCGTTCCTGCGCTGCGTGTCACGGGTCCGGCCAAGCTGGGGAAACCGAGAGATACCAATACCGCCACTCCCCAGGCCTCTCCTGGGGTGCGTTCTGGCCAGAATCTCGAGGCGCATCCAGCCGTGGCGACGAGGGCCTCGCGGCATGAACATAAACTTTCGGAGCTCCGCGCGGATTTCTTGGAGCTGCGCTGGATCCCCCTCCCTGGCGCGCGGAGCGCGCCAGGGGCGGCGCCGCAGTCGCCGCCAGGGGGCTCTAGCGCCGATCTAAGAAATCCGCGCGGAGGTCCGACAACTTATGTCTATGCTGCTGCTGCCTCTTCTTATTACTCGTATTATTATTATTCTTCTCTTCATCAATCATCGGTACCTCTTCCTTCTCTGACAGTTGGCGGCGCGCACAGGGTGGTATGGGGGAGGGGGAAGGCGTCTTAGAAGCACCCCTATTTCTTAGAAAGCGCCAGCCTCACATCTATAGATGTTGCCCGCGCCTTCTAAGAAGCAGTTCGCTTCCAAGAAGCCTCCCCCCTTTCCCCCTACCCCCCCGTCCGCGTGGCCGAGACAGGCGGGCGCGCCGCCCTGCGACGCCTCAGTTCGCCTTGCCAGGAGACCCCGCGGACGGGGCCGCCGCGGCCGCTGCCTGGCCGGAGGCCTGCCGGCTAAGGTCCTGCTCGTCCTCGCGCGCCTCGCGCTCCTAAAGGGACCCAAGGAGGCGCAAATAGACACGGACTCCAGGATTCCCTCAATGCTTCCACATTTCCGGTTGTTTTGTCTTCCCCCAACCTCCCATAGTTTCCCATGGTTTCCTGGAAATCTACGTTTGTGTGTGTTCGTCCGTTTTTCTCCCCTGAGCTCCTGCCTCTTCGTCTCCCGGTCCACGGACTCCATCATCAGCCGCCGCAGAGCCCGCGACTGCTGCACGGCGCTGCACTTCTTGTTTGCTGGGACCTGCAGGAAGCAACTGCTGGGAGGTCTTCGCGAGCACGATGGAAGGTCATTGTGCCAAATTTGAAAGCCATTGAGCAGGAGTAGCGCCCGGGATTCAGCCGGAACAGGCGGGATCAAACGGACTTGACCGGGATTGTGACAGATCAGACCGGTTTTCGACCACGGATATACCAGCGCCGATGCTGCCCCAAACCTCCTAGGAGTTGCATCCTCCTGAGGACCTGATTCACGCCGTAGAAGCTGAAGAGGTCGCTCACTTCCCGCCGCTTCTCCAGCGCCTGCTGCGAAGGCTTCCACTCCTCCTGCTTCCAAGACTCCGTCCGCTGCTCGGCCCTCTTCATCGAGCTCACGCCCGCGCTGGAAAAGTACATGCGGTTCTCGTAGAGGCGGTCGGGGATCGTCTCGATCGCCTTCATCTCGACCTGCTTGAACCTGCGGGCGTGCAACTTCAGGCTGTTCTGGAGGTCCCGCTGGCCCTCGTCGGTCGCGAGCTTGCGCTGCTTCAGCGTCATGCTGTTTAGATCCACCACGTTGCGCCTCCAGTCCTGAGGGGCGACGTCACGGGAGAGGGGCCAGCTCAGGGGGGAAGCATCGAGCGTGAATCCCAAATATAATCGCCGATCGATGGGCCGTGGGCCCCCGATGGCGTGTCCGCACGGTCCTGAGCGGGGCGGGCCAGAAGGCCCCCTGCCGGCGACGCATGGGCGACTGGTCGGTGCACCCCCCCCGCGAGCCCGTGAGCCTGCCCCCCCCCCCCCCCGACCGCTGCCGCGGCTGACGTCCTCGAAGGGGTCGAGGCTCTCCTCCCCGCTGCGGGGCAGAGGCCCCTCGAACGGCCGCGCGGGGCGCCGCGAGCGCCGCCTGCCGGCGGCCAGCTCCGGGCTGGTGCTCCGCCGAGACATCCTCGAGAGCCTCCGGCCGCCGGGGCCTTGGGGCGACAGGGGCTGCGGCAGCGCGGGCAGCGCCGGCGACGACGCCGACCGCCGCGAGCCGCTGCTGGACCCAGGCGCCGGGCCGCCGTCGGCGCCGCTCGGCCCCGGGCCACTGCGGGGAGGCGGCGCCCCCGCGCCCCAGGGAGGCCGCTTCGGCGGGGGCGGCGCCCTGCCAGCACGCCGGTCCACCATCATGCCTTCGGGCGCGGAGGTCCGTGACACAGCTGCGGCCGCAGGCCTGGGGCCCATCCTGGGCCGCTCCTCTCAGCGCAAGAGGGGCCCCGGGCAAGAGTGGCCTGGTTGGTGCGCGGCTTCAGGGGGCCGCGGGTAGGCCAGATCCAAGCGCGCAGGCCAGTGCAGGAGGTGCCTCTGTGAGCCCGCACTTAAGGTCACTCCCGCGAAGTGCCACTCCTATATACGCCGAGCCGACTCGGCCAGGCCAGGAGGGCGCATGTGCACCGCTCCAGGGCCCGGGGTGGGCCAGGCCTGGGGCAGCGGACGTGTGCAGATCCCGCCCCCCTGTGCCTGGCGGCGGCGCCGAAGGCAGGGCCGCAGCCGGCGGGCTCGGCATCCCGCTGGCGGGCGCCTCGGCCGCCGGCGTGCCGGCGCTGGAGGCCCGCGCAGAGCCGAAGGACGCCGAGAGCGCCAGCGACGCAGGTGCCGCGCTGGATCTGCGAGAGCGCCCGGGGTTCGCGGCGGCCTCCCGCCGCAGCTCCGCCTCCCGGTGCGCCTGGGCTGCTCGCTGGCGCACGGGGTGGCCCTCGGGGAGCAGCTGCTCCGCCAGCAGTGCGGCCTCCAGGTGCAGCCCGTCTGTCTCGTCGTCGGCCTCCAGGCCTGCCGCTGGCCGCTGGTACTCGAGCTCGAGCGCCAGGCACTGCCTCGACTGTATCGCCACCTGAGGGGAGCGAAAGATGCCCCCCCACCCCTGGCCTGAGAGGCAACGTGAGGGGGAGAACAGCTCATGAGGGGAAGCATCGACCTGGAATCGGCTATACATCGCCGATTGGTCGGCGACGGGATATGGAATCCGCACGCTCCTGGGCGCGGTGGGCTATGAGGCCCCCTGCCAGCGATGAATGGGCGATTGGGGGTCGATGCATCCCCTCCTGCGCCTGTCCCCCCGTATGTAACGTTGCCCTTTATGGCCCCCCTACCCAGAGGGGGCCGGATGGGGGTGGTATATTCTTTGTGCCCTTTTCGCGGAGCACTCTCACCGGGTGTTACCCGAAGTGCCATTGGTCCAAAGTGCCCCCAGGATTTCCGAGGTGGCCCCCGCGGCCTCCAGAGCACCCTCACGAGGCCCAGACGGCCCTAGGGGCTCCAAAATTGAGCGAAAAGCTGGGGGTTTACCCTGGGCCAGGGGAACCTTCGGCAACCCCCGGCCTCGGTCGGGAGCCGGAGCTCTCTGGCCCGGCGGGGTAAGGTGGGGGTGGAGGCTCGCCCTCTTTCCCCAAGGCCTCCACGAGCATGCTCAGCCAAGGTGGCGGCTTGCGCAGCAGCGCCTTCAGCTGCTCCGGCGCCCCAGCAGCCCCGAGCGGACCGACCTCCCACCAGGCCGAGACGGCAGCGTCCTCTGCGGCCGATGCTTCCTGTAGAACGCGCCAGACCTCGTCCGTCTCGGCGCGCGCTCGGCGTGCCTCCTCCGCCGCGTCCCCGTGGGAGCCCATGCCCGACAGCACCACGCAGTGCTGCAGGTGGATCAGCGCGAGGGCCGCGTGGGCCACGGGGCGCGGCGGCTCCCCGGGGGGAGCGCGTGCGTAGCCCGCCGCCACCCCCGCGGCCCGCCGGAGGATGCCTATGGCCCGCTTGTGCTCGCCCGTTCTGAGCTTGGCCGCGGCAAGCCCAACCTGGTGCTCCACGAGGGCGACCAGAGATCCGTCCTGATCCTGCCCCGACTCCAGGACGGGCTTGTACCAGTACTCCCTATCGGGGCGCATGTCGTATGTCGCCAGGCTGGGCTTCAGGGTCCAATCGGCCACCATCGCTTCTGGCGGGAGCGCGCCCACTAGAGCACAAGACACCAATCCATCCGGAGCCCACAAACTTGAGCCAAGGCGAATTGTGCAGGCTTGAGCCAACTCGAGCCAACAAGTGGATGAATTATCAGTGCGTGTGGCTGACACCCCAAAGAAGCAGCATAAACAGTTGCCACAAAACACCTGGTCCTCCTTTAGCGCCGCGATCGAAGAGAGCGGTAGCGGAAGTGGGTACACAAACGAACTCATACATACAATAGCCCCAGCCCCCACAGCTGCGCATAAGAGTGAGGGAACCAGGGAAGGTCGTCGGCAACTTGCGAGGCTCGAGAGCACATGTGAGAAAGCCAGCGAAATCTCAGCATCCGGGCCAAACACCACAGCCCGCGGGCCTGGAATCGTATCCCCTGTTCCCCTCTCGGCGCCACCACCACGGCTCGGGGGACCTCGCACCACCCTGCGAGGCAGACTGCAAGAGAATCCCTGGGCTGAAAGCCTACCTAAGGAATGCACCTATGCGCGCAGACCCACGGGCGTCCCCCCTGGCGTCCTTGATCGTCTCCCGCGAAAGCGTCAGGTGCATGAAACCGTACTGGTCGTCGCCATCCATGTTGGGCACAAAGTCGGACGTCACTCCACCGCCGCCGCCGGACACGAGCCTGCTGCAACCCCGGAGGCGAGGCATGCCGAGGTGAGGGGAGGGAGGAGGAGGAGTTCAAGTAGGTCAGTAGAAGTTGGGGCAATTAGGATGAGAAAGAAGAAATGGAAATGGAGCGACCCCGTGCGAGAGCAGTCCCGCCAGCAAAACTGACGTCGAATAACTCAGAACGACTGCGCTTTCAAGGCGGTGTGCTTGAAAACACGGTCTCTGAAACTCAGCGAGTTCCCTCTGGGCCAGCTTGGCTTGGGACAAGAAGCCAGCAAAGCACGAAGCTCCACGTTCCGTTTACTAGGCGTTGGAATCGAAGGCGCGGTCAATGAAGCTCGGCAGCTTCCCATCTAGCCTGTCGAAATCCCCGTTTGGAGCGCTGTACACGACGATGCCGTCGCCGAACCCGGGCGCGTTCCCACACTGAGGTGGGGGCGTCGAATGATTAGTCACCCCAGTCTGGTGCTGACGCACGGAGTGGTGGCCACAGAGACTCCTCGAAATGCCCTCCAGGCCGTCGCGGTCCCCCAGGTCGGTGCGTGGGGCTCGAAGGCGCGGTCGCCAGAGGCTAGCAGGCTCTTCGCGCATCGCGCCCAACGTTGCGCGACGCGCGATCATCTTCGCGCCCCCGCGCCGCCGCGCCGCCCCCCCCACCGGAGAAGGGCAGCTGCTCTGGCCCAGGCCGCGACGCGCGAAACGCGATTCGCACCCCCGCGGGTGACCCGGAGGTTCCATTCGAGGCCAGGGCCGCGGCGCACCTTCGTACGCGGGGGAATGTCCAGGCCAGAGTGCTCCATTGGGGGTCCTCTTGGGTGCTCAAGGGACCTCCTGACTTGCATTTAGCATGTCGTATTGCGTCATCTGGGAGAACGAACACGCAGAGCTTACACGCACAACGTGACGCTTACGCGAGTCGCTACACATGCATATTCAAAGCACAGAAGTGCACGACAACAAATGTCACTTGCATCACTGTGTTTCCTCCGTTTGGACCGCCCGTTGTCCAGAACCATGCGTCTTCCACGTTTGGACCCCCCGCTGTCCGACGCCGTGTTTTCTCAGTTTGAACCGCGCACTGGTGCTCGGAGGGAAATCAATGCGCGTTGTTTTCCCCGTCTGGACCGCCCGCTGCCCGAATGTAGCGTTCTCCCTGCGTGGACGACCATCGGTGCTCGGAGGGAAATCAATGCGCGTTATCCCATCAGGCTCTCTTGGGATCCTCTTCGGGCGTCTGGTTGGCATTCAATATTGCGTTATCTTGGAATGCTAGCGAGGAGGTTACGTGGAGTTTACGCGAGCTTATGTGGAGCTTTTGACGATGACGATGATCATGTTGGCGATGATGGTGATGATGGCGATGATTGTGATGATGATGGTGATGATCATGGTGATGTAGATACTGATGATGGTGATGGTGATGATGATGATGCTGATGAGGATGGTGATGATGGTGATTCGACTGATGATGATGGTGATGATATCGATGCTGAATCAGATGGCGACGATGATGATAATGCTGATGATTACTATGCTGACGATGGTTGTGATGGTGGTGGTAATGATTATGATGACGATGACTATGACGACGATGACGAGGAAGACGACGATGAGGGTGCTGGTGATAATGATAACGATGACGACGATGGCTGTGTTGATAATAATGATGATCATGATTGTGATGATTATGGTGGTGGTGATGATGGTGGTGATGATGATGATCATGGTGATGATGATGCTGATGATGATGATGACAATGATGATGATGATGGTGGTGGTGATGATGATGCTGGTGATGATGATGATGATGCTGGTGATGATGATGATGCTGGTGATGATGATGATGATGATGATGATGATGATGATGATGATGATGATGATGATGATGATGATGATGATTACGGTTTTTGTTCCTCTGGCGCAGCGCAGGCAGACTTGAAACGCGGCCAGGACCGGCCCCTCAAGTGGCCAACTTCACGGTCTTTAAAGCGATACCGGAAGCCTCGCCCCGCTCAGAGCCTGCTGGCTTGCGGCCCTGCCCACCTCGCGATCTCCGTGGCGACCCTGACGGGGTCCTCCACCGGAGCCTCGTGGCCCATGCCTGTCAGCTCGACGCAGGTCACAGAGCCGCCACCAGGCCAGGAGAGCACCTCCTTCGCGTGCAGGAACTCCACGACGATGTCGTGGGTGCCCCAGAAGAGGCCCACCTTGGGACTCGCGGCATCCCTGCTGGCGATCAGCGACTGGAAGGTCGGCAAGAGGCCCGCCAGAATGTCGCTGCGCAAGATGCCCAACGTGAGGCCTGCAATGGCATCGACGATCTGAGGGTGCAGGTCGAACATTCTCTTGATGTCGGCCTTGGCTGTCGCGTACTTTTCAGGGTAGAAATACTTAGCCCCCTCGTGCGCAAACGCGTTATCGCAGTTCTCCAAATAGGCGTTCTGCACCAGCGGGAGGGCCTTGACACTCAGCAGGACGCGCGCCAGCGAGGGCACCTTGTCCAATACCTTCACCAAGAACGGAGTCACCTTCCAGAACGCTGGCGAGATCAAAGCCAAGCGCTCCAAACGCCTGCCCCCGGGCAGCGCCGGCAATGAGACCGCCGCCTGCACCCCGAGGAGGCCCCCCGTGGAGTGACCCACGAAGAGGTCGACCGGCTCCCCGGGGGCCAGCAGGTGGTCCAGCAGCTCCTGCAGCTGCGTCAGCAGCATATCGAGGTCGAACTGCGCGCCTGGGCCCGCGTGCGACCAGCCGTGGCCGCAGAAGTCGTACCTCAGCACGCGGAAGCCACCCCTCAGCAGCGGCTCCACGAACCCAGCATACACCTTGGAACTGGTGCCAAGGCCGTGCGACAGCACAGCAACGCGCCGGCGCGGCCCCTCGGGATGCCAGGGCCCGTCCAGCACGTAATGGCTGAAACCATCTCTGCCCTTCAAGAACTTGCCGGAGGGCTTGCCGTAGAGCTGCCTCAGCTTCGCAGCGTCATCCGCCGGCAGCTCCTCCACAGTCGAGCCCTCGGGCGGCATCCCGCCTGCTGCCGCGGTGGGGCCCGCGCCAGCAGCCGCGGCGAGGCCCTCTGCTGCCGTCGCCCAGCACTGGCCGAGGCCGCAGGGCAGGTTCAGCTGCAGGTGCCGCTGGAGAGACACAACCCGTGCCAATTGCAAGCAGACGACTGCCACCGCGCAGCCGCGCGCTCCGATGCGCGCCGGTCGCTGTGGTCGGGGCCTGCGCAACATAGGCCTTGAGCCATGATGATGATGATTACGATTACGAGCTGGGGCAATCGAGACGGCCCAAGAAACACCCAAGACAACAGCTTACGCGAGCTTACGCGGAGCTTACGCAAGCTTCCGCGGGCGTGTTAGGCCCCTATAGGCCCCTGGGCCCGCAGATGACACCCCCTCAAACCCCTCCAAATGCATTTCTCCCGATTATGGATCGCACTGTACGCGCGCTTTTCGTCATGCTCGTCTGTTGTCCCTGTCGGCACGCGTCCCTCAAAACGATGTCCCGTCTGAAATTGCTTTCTGGTGGTCCTTTCAACCTCCAGACGGCCGAGATGGCCTTCAAGACGGGTTCCAAGACAGCCAAGACGACAACACAACGGCTCAAGATTACCTAAGATAGCCCAAGCTTCTCAAGCCAGCCTCACGACGGCCCAAGAGGCCCCCAAGAGGGCCTCAAGCCGGCCCAGGAGGCCCCGAAGACGGCCCAAGAAAGCTCCAAGGGGCCTTCCTGGAGAGCCCGGGGGGGGGCCAAAACCATTGATTTCCCTTGGACTTTTGAAGGATTGTGAGGTTCTCGCCTGTTCGGGTTCCCGACCGCCCAAGACGGCCCAAGAGGTCTCCAAGAGGCCTCCAAGACAGCTCAAAGAGGCCCACAAGAGGGCCCCAAGTCGGGCCAAGAGGATCCAAATATTGCCCAAGAGGCTCCCAAGAGGGCCCCAAGACGGCATTGCGCTCCACGGGAGCAACAAGACGGCCCAGAGATGCTTCTTGGGATGTCATGGGCGGTCGTGAACCCAAACATGCCAGAACCTCAAAATCATTCAAACACCTTAGGATAGTCTATGGTTTTGGCCTCCTCGGGCTCATATTGATCTGCCGTGAGGCCTTCTTGGGAGCCCCATGGCCTCCAGGACGGCTTTCAAGGCAGCCAAGGTGACACCAAGATGGCCCAAGATAGGACAAGAAGGTCCCGAGAAGGTCTCAAAACAAAACAAGAAGCCCTCACGACGTCCTAAGAGGGATCCAAGAGGCCCTCCTGGAGAGCCCGAGGAAGCCAACACCATTTGGTTTCCTGCGGTGTTTGGAAGATTGTGAGGTTCGGGTTTTCGACAGAGCAACCTCCAAGAGGCCTCCAAGATAGCTCCCAGACAGCCCAAAATACACCCAAGAGGGCCTCAACTCTGCCCAAAAAGGTCCAAAGATCGCCCAAATGGCTCCCGAGAGGGCCCCAAGACGGCCGTGAACTGCTCCAAGAGGGCACCAACACTGCCTTTTTTTTCCAGCGCGATATTTTGGAGGAGAAGGAGGAAAGCTGAGGGGACGAAGGCGGACAGACAAGCCAAGATCGCGAGCAAATGCAATGAACTGGCCAGTGCACGCCTGGTCGAGAAGGCAAGTTAAACTCACTCGCAGAGGTCAGAAACTCTAGAGTCCAGAACACAGTGGGCCAGCGCCTCGCAAAATGCAACACTACCAAACCCGATGGGCTCTGTCTGAAACCCCTGGCATAAGCGAGTACACAAACCCAAAGGGAGAAGAGTAGACATAATACCGGCTGATGGTGGATGAAATTCCAAAGCGATTGCGGGAGACTCAGGTCCTTCTCAGGGCAGAGGACCAATCATCAAGCTCCACAGCCATTCAATTACAGGACCGTCCCAATGGAATAGAACTGGCAAGGCAGAGAGTTGCATCCCGATGGCAACTAGACGATAGCGGATGAAGATAGAAAGAAAAGCTGTCGGCAGACAGGCGCGAGCCAGCCCAACAGCTGCAGGATGCCCACACGGCCATGCCATGTGGTGGCGGCAT